TAGCCCCACTGCTGGGGAGACAGAGACAGCGGGAGCCTTGGGGCTTGTTGTGTGGCCAGTCTAGCAAAACCTGTAAGCTCCGGGTTCAGTTAGAGAGCCTGTCTCAAAAACTGAGGTGGAAAACAATAAGAAACACATCTGAGCTGGACAGTGGTAGCGCACTCCTTTAATCCCAGCTCTCAGGAGGCAGAGCCAGGCTGATCTCTGTGAGTTCGAGGCCAGCTGGGTCTACAGAACAAGATCCAGGACAGGCACCAAAACTACGCTGAGAAACCCTGTCTCGAAAAAAACAAAACAAAAAAAACAAAACAAAAAAAGAAAAGAAAGAAAAAAAAAACACATCTGATACCGAGCTTTGGTCTCCACACATAACACACACACACACACACACACACACACACACACACACACACACACACACACACACACACCAGAAAAGTTAAAGAAGGCATCTAAAGGAAGAATTTCAATTTAGAAGTATGTGACATTCTAGAGTGCTGTAATACAAGCTAGTGATGTTAAGCTAGCATGAAAACTGTCACAAAATGACTGATTTTAGTGAAAGCCAGAAGACAAGAGGAAAGAAATCACTGAGAAAATTCCACTGTGAAAATTTACATATCACACATGCCCAGTACCATGACTTAGAGGAGAGGCCAGTAGACGTATTTATCCAACCACATAGCTTGCACCACAAGGATTTTAAAGTAAAGTCATAACTCGCACCTACTTTTGCCTTCTTTTAAGTCATTAAAATACACATTAGGGTTTTTTAAACATTTACTACAGAAACACACTGTGTATCTTGTGCATCTCAGTATGAGAACTTCTACAATTTGGAAATATTACTGGCACAATTTCTTAGAAACAAAATACTATCTATCATTTTACCCCTTGTAAATACATAGGGCCATTCTCTTGAATACAAGGAATCTAACAGAAATTAGTAACTTTTTCATCTTTGTGTGTATGTGTGTGTGTGTGTGTGTGTGTGTGTGTGTGTTCCCGTGTATGAATGTGGGCATGGGTCTCTCCCAGTGTGTGAATGGAGGTCAGAGAACAATTCGGGTCTAAATTCTAGCCTTCCACCTTTTTCTAGTTCACTATTGTGTGTACTAGACTAAATGACATATTAACTTCTGGGATTCTCCTGTCTCCTGCTTCCTTCTCTCCATCATGAGCCCCGGGATTACAGGTTCATGCTGCTACCCCCATCTTTTGTGTGGATTCTGAAGATTCAAACTCGGGTCATCACAGCTGCCCACCAAATATTTTGCCCAGTAATTGATCTCCCGGCTGAAAGTAGTAACGTTTATAAAAAATATTTATAATTAATTTTAATTATGTGTATGTATGAATATCTGTGCAGGGCTTTGTGCCCATGAGCCCAGTGCCTGTGGACACCAGAAGAAGAAGTCAAGAGCACTAGATCTGGAGTCAGGAGGAGTTTTAAGGCCCTGATTTTGTGAGGGTGTGTGTGTGTGTGTGTGTTGAGAAACAAACACGGGTCTTCTGGAAGAGCAGTATGCCCTCTTAGCCACTAAATGATCTCTCCAGCCCCACTGTAGTAACAGTTAAAAATTTTTAAGTCTTTAGAATTCCATAGCTAAGTAATGTATTTACATGGAGAGTAGCTTTTAAAGACAAATGCTCCTATAACAGTCAAAGCCCACCTCAGCACCCAAAGAGAACTGGAAAGAACAAACATTAACCACAAGGTTACTAATCATAGCTCTGCTACAAGAACATGTGACCAACTGGGTGACAGCATCAGATGACAGGGTCTCTAAGGATCTGTTGTGATCAATTAGAGGCAGGAAGAGCAATTCCCAGTGTCCCCATTCATTCAACAAAAATTTATTAGTTGTCTATCAAGTATGAGACAATGCACTGGAAGAAAAGTAACTTGATGTTTAAAAAAAATTACAACTAAAATTTTTCTTTATTTAACCTTTGTTCTAAATCAGACTAACTTTTTCTTCTTTGCCCTTCTCAGAACTTCCTCCTCCTTCACACCCATATGCTCATTATTCTTAATTAGTGAGATTGCCCTTTATTCTTTATTGCTAAGAACTTTGGAAATAAGTAAAGACCATGTAACTAAGAACAAACAATCTGTTTAATCATAAATCTCTGTAGCAAGGGAGTTGGCCACCAGCCCTTGAGCTTGGCAGAGACTCAGAGGAAGGCTGGGGCAGAAGAAAGCATTGAGATAAAAAAGGAGAGACCAACGGAAGGCTTCAAGTCACACTGACGGGCAGTTGGCATGAGGACAGAGAAGCGAGCTAGGCAGAAGTAAAGCATCTCATATGATCCGTTTGGGGACCACATTTGACTTTCTGGGGTTATTCCTGAACTGGAGAAGATGGTGGATGGAGGAAAAACAAGAGACGCTGTTGAACTTTGATCAAGCCCTGGCCACAGGTGTGGAGTTCATGAGGATTTGATTACACTTGCACGTGATAGAACAGTGAGGCACAAGTGTGACTTGGCTTCCTGGAATGACTGAATTGATGTACACCTTGTAGTATAGGTGATTTGAACATCGGTCACTTGTGTATTATCCAGTCTCTTGATCCCTTCGGTTGTTCAATATCTTCTACATGAAAGCTTAACCAATTCAGAGAAGGATAGAAATTCAAGTAGGCCCTCTGAGACTGGTGGAATAGTTTTTGCCATGTCCACTCTAGGATGAGGTCATCTTGGACTTTTGGGGTGTTATTATAATGACAATTATCCAACAAGAGAATGCTGCATAGGAGTAAGTAGACTCCATGTAGAATGCAACAGATCAGCAGAATAATAATGAAACAGAAAAAAAAAGTTACAATTAATAGGGCTATAGAGATGGCTCAGTGTTTAAGATGGCCCTTGCTGTTTTGTAGAGGAACTAATTTTATCTCCCAGCACCCTAGTGGTATCTCATAACCATACATAATTCCAGTTCCAGGGAATCCAACATTCTAAGTGAGCACCAGGCAGGCACATGGTGCACATACATACATGCAGGCAAAACACCTCCTCACATAAAATAAATAAATCTTATTTTTAAAAAGAACAATGAATAGTCCCTGTAAGATGCTTCAAACCAATGGCTTGACTTAGACCAGGAATGAATCAATATAGGACACACACCGATCAACATTGGCTCATTGATTGTGGGCATGATGGGACCACCTGCTGCTTTGATGGACTATGCCCTTAGAATGTAAGCCAAGACACACCCCCTTTTTTTTTCATTAAGTTGATTTCATCAGAGCACTTAATCACTACAACAGATAAAGAAACTAAGAAGAAAATGGTATGGAGAGGTGAGACTGTTTCTGTGATCAACCTTATCACATGGTTCTTAGGCCTTTGGAACTGTTTTGTGACTGGACTATTAAAAGAATTTGGAATTGGGGACTATGAAAGCCCCTAGTGTCCTAAGCAGAGTTTAATGGGTCCTTCCAGTGAGAGCTTGGAAGACAAGAATGCTGAGAGAAGGGCAGACGGTGGGAGCCAGATTGTGAGGATTTGGAAGAAAGCAAAGACTGAGACAAGGGTAGGTACCATTTATGTGAGAAGGTCAGGGTTCTTGCTTCATTCTGCACATATCCTGAAAACTTGATTGTTAGAGCAGAGATTAACATGGAGGATGCTGGTTTCATCGGCCTCTATATTGCAATTTCTCATTTACACAAACAAGTTCCTGCTTGGCCACCATCTTAGCCTCAGATGCATTTCTAACTATAGATAACAGTAGCCCAACAACCTCCCTTCCTAACCGCCAACTGTTTCAGCCCCTGTGCACTAATCTCAAAGACTGCAAAATGACCTCTAAACCAGTGGTTCTCACTCTGTAGGTCATGACCCCTTTTGGAGTCAAATGAACTTTTCAAAGTGGTCACATATCAGATATCCTGTACATTAGTTATTTTCATTGTGACTAAGAACAGTAGCAAAATTACAGTTATGAAGTAGCAATGAAAATAATTTTGTGGTTGGGATCATCACAACATGAGGAACTGTATTAAAGGGTCACAGCATTAGGAATACTGAGAACCATTGCTCTTAACCCTTAACTGTTTTCAGGGCATCTCTGTAGTCACGTGGTAAATGCCACTTATCAAGCAGGCACACCACTTCATACCATACAGATGAAGATTTCCATCCTGACATTTCTCCCTCAGACAGTCCTAACCCTGATGGCTCAGCCTTATTGAGACATCTCACTACCCACATCAAGAACCACACAAATGCCACCACAGCCACCAGGAAGGGATTTTGTATAGAAATGTCCTTAGCATACACTCCCCTTGAGGCTGCTTAGCCTCAGTTGCATGCCTGACTAGCCATAGCCAGGACCATGCCCTCAATTCTCCACAACTCATCTTTATTTCTGTCAAGTCCCCGTTCAGCACCAATTATGTTGTGTGACAACTGTTCTTGGGGAGATGCAACACACATATATCAACTCAGACCAGATAGGAAGCCCACAACAAACCAAAGTACAAATGCCACCAAAATCCAACTTGGTGAACCAATGAGTCTTATTGGGATATAGCTACATGAGTGAAGGATTATCTCATAGGAGTATAAATGACTCAAAGATAGCAGTATCACCAAGCCCCACCCCAGCATGAGTGACAACTCATATAAGCTGGAAACCTGTAGCTTACTGCACAGCCTTCAGGGGTTAACAGGTTGGAGAGTATCCTTTCCAGGTGCTTCAGTTGCTTGGTAGCCTCTTCTCTGAGGCAGCTGGTCAGGTCTCAGTCTCCTTTGCAGCGTGGTTCGTCTGAGAATGACTCTCAGCAGGCTTTATTATTTACTTTTGGGAGGGAGGAGCCTAGTGAATCTAGTTAGCTTCGGGGACTTCCTGGAGCTAATTTGAGTTGTTTACTTTCTGTCTTAGGGAGCTTCCCTACAGGATAAAATGTTTCAATCATGGCAGAAACTGCTACACAACAGCAGGGCTCACAGCTGGGCAATATTAACAATTACTTTTCTCCTTCCAGCACCTTCCAGCACTTTGAAAGCTAGCCAGCAGAGATGAAGCTTCTAGATTGGTACCATCTTGGTTATTCAAATTCTATCACTCAGGTATGTGGTGTCTTCATTAATAAGGTCTTACTATCAAGTTCTGGAGGATAACCAAGAGCATTGACAATATCCTGTAATGTTTGGAAGGCTATAGGACCTCACTAGGCAACAACTCCAAAAATGGTAACACATTTCTGACACTGGGCTATCTTTTTGTTTGGTTTGGGTTTGTTTTTTGATAGCCCAGGGTGTCTAGTAAAGGTAGTGTCACCCCATTATGGGGTAACTCCATTTAAACTCTTTTTACGTGTATGCATTTTAGGAAGCATCTATAATAGTAGATTTCTTTATGACCTTTACACAAGGTCATTGGCGTTTCTTCTCCCTCATATCCCCTACTGATGTAACTTTTCCTGTTCTGTTATTTCTCTTCACCCCTTTACACCACTGCATTAGCCTCAGATGCACTACTTCTCCTGTCTTGAATATATTCATAGCACCTTATGAGTTCATGACTCTATAGGTATTCCAAAGGAATCTACAAATTTGAAGACTCAAAGGTAACGTTCATAAACGATACAAAACATGAGACATTTGTATTTCTGAGTCTAGATTACTTCACTCAAAATTGTGTCCTATGGCTGGATCATGTGGTAGATCTGTTTCTAGCTTTTTGAGGAATCTCCACACTGATTTCCATAGTGTTCTGCACCATTTTGCAATCCTAGGAACAATGAATTAATACTTCACTTTCACCACATTCACATCAGCATTAGTAGTCATTTATTTGTTTTCTTTTCTTTTTTCTTTCTTTTTTTTTTTTGGTTTTGTTTTGTTTGAGACAAGGTCTCACTTATGTAAATCTGCATGGCCTGGAACTTGCTATATAGTCCAGGTTTAACCTGAATTCACAGAGATCCAGCTGCTGCTGCCACCTGAGTATTGAAAGATGTGTCCCACCATACCTGATTTTTTTTTTTCAATCTTGACCTTTCTGACTGGGGAAAGATGAAATCTCAAAGTAGTTTTAATTTACATTTCCCTGATGTCTAAGAATGTTGACCATTTTTGAATGTTTTTCAACCCTTTGTATTTTATCTTTTGAGAATTCTCTGTTTAGGAATTCCATGCCCTTTTTGTTAGGTTGTTGGTCTGCTTGGTATTGTTTTAGTTTTTTTTGTATATTCTAGACACTAACCATATGTCAGATGTATAGCCAGTAAAGATTTTTTTCCCCATTCTGTAGGCTGGTCCTTCCCTCTAAAGATGATGTCCTTTGCTATACAATAGCTTTTTAGTTCCACAAGACCCTATTTATTAATTTTTGGTTTTAATACCTATGCTAACAAGATCCTGTCCAGATAGGCCTTTCCTGTACCTAATCCCAAGCAGATTCCCTACTTTTTCTTCTAACAGATTTAACGTACAAGGTCTTAAATTGAAGTCCTTTATCCATTTGGAGTTGGGTCTTGTGCAGGGTGAAAGAAGAGGAAGAAGAATCATTCTTCTACATGTAGCTAGCCAGTTTGAAAAGCACCATTTGTTGAAGATATCTTCTTTCTCCAGTGTATATTTTTGGACTCTTTACCAATAATCAGGTGGCTGTAGGAGTGTGGGGTTAGATGTGTGTCTTCAATTCTTTACCTGTTTTTTATGACAGTACCATGTTGATTTTATTACTATAGCTTTGTAGAATAACTTGAAATCTGGGACAATGATACATCCATAGGTTTTTGTTATTCCAGTTTGTTCTGGATATCTTGGGTCTTTGTGGTTCCATATGAAATTTAAGATCATTTTCTCCAATTTATGTGAAGAATTGCACTGTGATTTTGATATGGATTGCATTGGATCTATAGAATGCTTTTGGTAGGATAGCCATTTTCCCGATATTAATCCTACCAATCCAACCAAGTACATGGGAGGTCATTCCATCTTCTGCTGTCTTCTTCAACTTCCTTCTTCACTGTCTTTAGATTCTCATTGTAAAAGTCATTTACTTCCACAGTTAGATTTCTTACAATATTTTTAGGTTATTATCAATGGGATTATTTTTCCAAATACTTCTTGGTATAATTGCTGTTTGTAAAAAGGAAAGCTAATTTTGGTATGTTAATTTTGTATCCTGCTACATTGCTGAATATGTTTATCAGTTGTGGGAGTTTTTTGGTAGGGTGTAGAATCATATCATCTGCAAATAAGGATACTTTGACTTCTTCCTTCTCTATTTGTCCTCCTTTCCTCCTCCTCTTGTTTTATTGCTCTAGCTATGACTTCAAGCACTATATTGAACAAAAGGGAGAAGAGTAGATATCTTTGTCTTGCTCCTGATTTTGGTGGAAATTGTTAGGGAAGTTTGCAGAAATCACACCACACAACAGATCTCATGAAAGTGATTTATGCAGGGGGTGGGGAGCAAAAGGTTGCCTCTGAGTGGGCATGAGAGAGAGAGACATAGAGACAGAGATAGAGGGAGAGAGACAGAGCAAGAGAGTGGGCCATGATGGTGGGGACTTTTTTCAGAGTACACATGTTGCATTTGGTGGCTAGTGATACATGTGACTCCTGATGCTGAGTCTCTGAGAGTGGACATGTTTCTGTAATATAGGTGGTATGTAACAGAAATATTTTGAGTTTTTCTTCATTTAGTTCATGTTGGCTATGAGTTTTCTGTATAATGCCTTTATTATATTGAAATATGTTCCCTGTATCCCTAGATTCTCCAGAACTCCTATCATGAAAAGATATTAGATTTTTGTAAAGGACCTTTTCTGTGTCTAATGAGATAATCTTGTGGTTTCTATCTTAAGTCAATTTATGTGGTATATTGTATTTGTTTCTCTGGGATGAAGCTGACTTGATCGTGTGGATAATCTGTATATATGTGTTATTGAAGTTTGTTTGCAAGTATTATATTGATAATTTTACATCTATTTTGGGGGATACTGGACTATAATTCCTAATTTTTGTTGGGTCTGTTTTTCTCTTGAACTTTTTCTCTGAAAATTCTTCTAGGTCATTTTCATTAAGGACCATTACAATGAGATTTGTAGGTTTTTGGAAGATACCCATTTGTGTGTGTGTGGTTTTTTATTTATTTGGGGGTTCTCACATCTAGATCTAGTTTGTTAGTTTTCTTCTTTCCTTTTCTTTTCTCTCTTCCTCCTCCTTTTCTCCTTTTCTCCTTCTCTCCTTCTCCTTCTCCTTTTCTTCTCCTTCTCCTCCTCTTCCTCCTCCTCCTCCTCCTCCTCCTTCTTCTTCTTCTGTAACAGAGATGCTTAAAATATTCACCAGGGAGCTAATCCATAGCGTGATTAGATGTCAATTTCTGTTTGTCTGGTGTTTAGAACTACAGTATCTATCCTGGGTCTTCTATTTGTCATTTACAGTCCCAAAATTGGGAGGGGCCCAAAAGAGGAGATGGTGATCCCTGCTCAGAGCCACAGGGTTTGGGGGAGGTCTGAATGGAGGGATAACAGATATCCTTCATTTCTTAAAAAATTAATCTTTTCTTAGGCTCTCAACAACATCTTATTTTAATAAATATTATTTTCTAATTGAAGGCTAGTATGAGATTGGTATACAGATAAAAATACAGAAATGCAGTACTTCTGAGGCAGAACTACAGGGTCTCTATGATTCCCAAAAAGTTCTGGAAATCAACATGGCTAGATAAAATGGTTATGTGTGCATTTTTGTTTAACTTTTTTATTACTTCTTTTTTAAAAAATTAATTTATTTATTTATGTGTGTTTGTATAAGTCTTCATTCACTCATGCCATGGCACACATATGGAGGTCAGAGGACAATTTGTGGGACTAGCTCATTTTCTCCACTATGTGAAGCCCAGGGATCAAACTGATGTTGCTAGGCTTGATGGCAAACATCTTTACTCTTGAAGCCATCTTGATGACCCCATGTGTGCAGTTTTCTATAAGTGTAATAACAAAGTACTAATATTGGAGTCTAGTGATCCTCAGAACAGAAGTGGCTAGGTATCTGAACAATTAGGACAGAGAGCATCCTTCAGCATAAATCCACAGGAAGGTAGGAATTCAGGGTCAAAGAGAAACAGCCTTGGATTTAGTGGAGATAGTTCAGGAGGCCCACAGGTTAACATGGGTCTTCTAATTTTAAATCAACTGTTCTTTCTTCCATGCAATACGTGTTTTTGTTCTTTTCTGTTTGAGTTTACTCGAAGTTTTACTATCTCACCAACACACAGTAGAGAAGTCTATGAATTAGCTCTTGGTTTCTCACCTACTCATCCAGGTGGTCTTTGAGAAGTTAAGGTGTGTCTGGGAAGAAAAGACAGTCTGGATCATACAGAGTTCTGAACAGAGTTTTCCCCATCCTATGGGTGACCTATACATCTCAACTTTTTCTCATTCATAAAGCCTACTATTACCAATTTCAGTTGAAATTAAGCTTCCTGAAAATGTGAATTAGAACAATTACTGGACTTTATCTCTCTTAAAAAAAACGTATCATTGTAATAAAATATTTACATTAATAGTGGTATGTATGTATGTGTTCATGCACCTGAGAATGTGGGTGTTTGACTAATGCATGCATGCAGAGATCAGAGCGGTCAGGAGACTTTTCTTTATCACTGCACATTATTGCCTTAACACAGCGACTTTCATTGAGGTAAAAGCTCAGCGTTTCAGCCAGGCTTGGTGGTCAGCAAGCTCTCAAGATCCCTGTCACCAACCCCTAGTACTGGGGCTACCAGCACATAGGCATGCCCAGCACTTACATGAGTCATGGGTACATGAACTCAGGTCTTCATATTTATTTGCATAATGTTTTATCATGTGCTTTAAACATGCATCTACAGTTATATTTACATTTCAAATATTTTATAAATGTGTAAAGCTCCATGACAACTTATTCTGTCTGTTCGATGGCTGAAAGATTGTGATAGAGGGGGAAATTCAACAAGTGAAACTCCTTATGGTATAATCTGGACTAATAAGTAACAGAGGTAAGAATATTGACTGATATGGAATTAGCTGAAGATCAGTTCCTTTAGAGAGTCAGCTGGCTCATGTCAAGAA